AAATAAATAAATAAATCCCCAGCTAAAAGGAGGCCTGCCTTGCGACCCGCAAGCCACTCGTTGGGGAATAAATCCCACTGGGTTTAACCGGATAACGATTATAGCCCTACTGATTCCTTTCAGATTTCGCAACCTCCTTGCTGGCTACTAGTGGTCCACAGACTGCAGTGGGGCGCACAAGCATCTCACGCCAAGGTGCTCATTGGCTCTGACGCAGCAATTATTTCCATCTCGAGATTCTGAAAACACAATCGCTGCCTCTCTCTGCAATAATAATAATAATAATAATAATAGGTGAGGTGGTGGGGAGCAAAAAATATATCTGCATGGATGTTTAGTACCCTTCGCTTTTGTTGAGAGGTAAGAGAAGTAAAGGAACACGCTTCCATCAGTACTGAAGCAGCTTAAAGCACATGGGGGAGATTATTGTCCTGCAAAACTGCAAGCCCCTTGTACATGTTTGGCTGAAAGAAAATGGGAGAGGGCAAAGCCCATATTTCCTTTGCAGCTCAGGAGATTCCTTTGAGGAGACCCCTTGCAGTTTAAACACACTGGATCTGGAGAAAGAGCTCTGTAATGTCTAACGGCCTCCCTTAGCCCCCTGGGGAAAATAGTATTCATAATAACAACCTACTGCATTTCTGCAAAAGTCATCATTGTGGTGTCTGAGCACACTGGCCTTATATAATCCAGTATTTATGCAATACTGCATTCGTTTTGAGACAAATAAAAACCAAGAGTGCATTTGGTTTTTAAGGCTGAGATCTTCAAAGTGCTGTTTGTGTATTATAAAAATTCCCATGCCTTCAGTAGAAACTCCCTGGGCAGTTAACATAAAATGAATTATCTACACTAGAGTCATGTCTGAAGAAGGCGCATTGAAATCAATGTGACTTAGGACAAAATCAATGGGACAAGATAGCTTGCACTGCAGGCCCAAAGAGACTTCTGTTTTTTTTTTTTTTATAAAATTTTTATTGGTTTTAGAAACTTTTTAAACAAAAAACAAACAAACACCAAAAATGACAAACATACACGTATAGTTTCAAACATATTTTCATAAACTTCTTTCCTTTGACTTCCCCATACCCCCCCTCTCTGCATCCCAGTGTCCAAAGTTCCACTAGCAACTCCCAATTGTTATTTTCCAATCTCTATCTTCTTAGTTCTTTTTTTTTAAATTTCTAACCTTATATCCCTGTATCCCTTTATTTCTGAAAACCGCAACATTTTAGCATTCATTAAGTTTATAGTAGTCCTTAAGATAACTTTTAAATTTTTCCCATTCTTCTTCCACCGTCTCTTTTCGTTGATCACGGATTCTGCCTGTCATCTCGGCCAATGTCATATAGTCCATCACTTTCATCTGCCATTCTTCCAAAGTGGGTAGATCTTGGGTCTTCCAATACTTTGCGATGAGTATTCTTGCTGCTGTTGTAGCATACATAAAGAAAGTTCTATCCCTCTTTGTCACCAATTGGCCGACAATGCCCAAGAGAAAGGCCTCTGGTTTTTTCGCGAAGGTACATTTAAGTACCTTTTTAATTTCATTATAGATCATTTCCCAGAAGGCCTTAATCTTCGGGCATGTCCACCAAAGGTGGTAGAAGGTACCTTCAGTCTCTTTACACTTCCAACATTTGTTATCGGGCGAATGATAAATTTTTGCCAGCTTGACTGGGGTCATGTACCACCTGTAAATCATTTTCATTATGTTTTCTCTTAAGGCATTACATGCCGTGAACTTAACACCGGTGGTCCATAACTGTTCCCAGTCGGCAAACATAATGTCATGACCAAAGAGACTTCTGTATCAGTGAGGCTAGTTCACACGTGCATGGTTATTATTTGATGACTGAAGGGATGTTCAAATGAACATCACTCATGCGTTGATGGGGGAGCAGGTTGCTGTGGGCCAAGCCCCCTGACCATCAACCATGCTCCCCCTGCCTGCCATTTTCCATCTGTGAAATTATATTATCTGGGGTCATATTTATATAGCCAATGCTATGCCTCTGCCTCTTTCATTTAAAGTTTAAGTAGAATATAATTGCTGAAATCACCCAGTCATTACAATTGATTTAGGTTGCAATCCTAACTCTACATACCTGGGAGTCAGCTCCATTGAAATCAGCAGGACTTACTTGTGAGCATGCACGATCAGAATTGTGCTGTTGGTCTTCCCCATGTGTAAGGAAGGACGCTCACATGTGTTTGTTCTAACTTCTGATTAGATACCCCAGGCCATTAGATGAATGAGGATTAATGTATGAGTGTGATCAGACAGCTCATGCACTATGTTGGCATCATAGCTGTCAACTTTTCCCTTTTCTTGCGAGGAATCCTATTTGGAATAAGGGAATTTCCCTTAAAAAAATGGAAACGTTGACAGCTATGGTTGGCATTCATGCTGTTTACTAGAGGTAGCAGGAATGCCAGTACCATTTGATGATCTACAGGAGGTGAGTAAGGCACCATAGTGACACAGTAAGTTTTTTGGACTTAGTATGACAGGTTGACAGGATTACTCTTCAAAGCAGTTCCTCCTTCCTGAAGAAGAAAAGTGGGTGGGTGGAGTCTAAGGAGAGAAAGGCTTTCAAAGTTAATTTAGCACACCCACTAAGCAAAGGTCAACAGGAGTGGTTTCCTGTTCAGGGTGCCTTAAAGCTACCTCTTCTCACCTTTCAGTATTATTTTGACTAGGTTCATTCAACAGCCTGCAGGAACTGTTTTTGTTTAAAAGAAAGATGGCTAGATACTTCTGGACTGATTCTGGGTTTGCAGTTGAGTTTCCCCTGAAGGCTTAGTGACGTCTGCCAAAAGAACAGTCAAAAGAAAAGAGGAGGGAGGGGAACTAGGCTCAAAAGACCTCTGCACTCAATTCTTGACTCCTGGGTGGGGGGAGACACCCTTTATGAATCTGAGCAGCATATATAAAAGAAATCTGCCAGCCCTGAACATCTTGTCTAGTTTAGCTCCAAAGTCAAGATCAGGAAATGCAGCACCAGTTGTAGGGTTGCCATACATCTGGAATTTCCCGGACATAGCTGGTATTTGGCTCCCTTAAGCAGTGTCCAGGCGGAAATTGTTGAAATGTATGGGAAAATCCGGACGTATGGCAGCCCATTGGCGATTTCCCTTAAAAACAGCTCAGAAAGTTTTGTGCAAAACTTAAAAAAAAAGCTCAACGACTTCTGTGTCCGGATTTTCACTTTTTGAAATATGTTAGCCCTAGAAAGGCTTGGAGGCATCAGGGCAGCACCAGGATTCCTGCCTTGCTGCACCAGGATTCCCTTTGCCTGACAACAGGCCAGAGAAAAGGCATTTGATTGGCAGAATGTCCAGGTTAGAATCTGTCAAGCTGGCCTACAAGCTCCAGGTAATCATTCCCTTCAGCATCCTATCCGCTTCATCTGCAAGTACTTACACAGGCATGCCTAGATGTCAGTTGTCCCCATAAATTCCCTTTGAAGTGCCTAGAAAAGAGCCTAAAAGAATCTCGGAGGTCTCTTAAGTCAACCAGAGCAGTAAGCACAGAAAGCAGATGTGATCATTGTAAAATCATTACAGCCAACTTCTATGATTAAATGCAGTAAGCGATTTAACACAAACATATTTAGAGCCGTGCGTACATCGGGGTTTCTAGAGTCTGAGCATTTTAGTGCCAAAGTAAGATTATTGGTAGTTTGCAGGCGACAGCAGACGCAGCATGGAGGCTTACATGCCAATGTTACAGCTTGGGCTGCAAGGATGGTTCAAACCAGGTTGGTCACATTTCATCTTTATGTATTTTATTTACCAACCTTCCCTTATAGGAACAAAGGCTGACCGTCATGGGGTTTTTCAAATCGTCCATCCAGGTACAAAGTAGGACCAGCCCAACTGTTTCATGAACAGAAGTACATGAGATGATTTCAGATCATTATCTACAATGAATGGTTTTCTGGCTCACTTCTACTATGCAGACAAGATTGGAGACAACACAGTTCACAATTGCCTTGCTGGCTGAGCAGTCAATTCCCTCTTCCCACCTAAAGTGCAGCCCATATTTATGGTTAATTTTATATACATACAAAACACTGAGTTTAGTCTACTCGGAGCAAACTACAGTGTCCTCTGAATTATGAAATAACTAGCATGTCACTTGATTGACATGTTTTTAGCAACTGAGAGGGGCATGTAAACCGACTCTATAAGTCAGTTATAAGTTACCGCTTGCGATACAGAGCACAACTCTATACCAGTCTACTCGGAGCAAACTTCCACTGCAAACGTGTAGAGAATTGCTACCAGTCGCCGTCAGGAAGCGACCAGCTGGACGTGTGCACGAACTGCGGGCAGCACGATGTTTTCTAAAACGCCCTAGGGTCGGGCCTTACGCGGAGTGAAGTGCTGCTGCTGAACCTACAAGCGATTCTTCATCGCAAGCGCAACAAATGCCCGACAGCAGGCAAAGCCGGAGAGCGAATCGCGGGCTCCCGCGTTGTTAGCGATCCCTCGGGCTCATCCCCGGCTGGGCTCCGCGCCGCGGCGCCGGTGGCTGAGAGCAGGCAACTCAGCGCAACAGCCGCCGTTGGCCCGAGTGCCACCGCCGCTCCACCCCGCGCCCAGGGGAGGTTCACACGCGGCAGCCGCCGCTCCTGCACGCCCCGCTCAGTGCCGCCGCCGCCGGCGGCCCCGCTTGGCCGCCAGCCGGGCACAGAGCAACTTTCCCACGGCCGCCCGGCCACGCGTGTGGCTCCGCAGGCCCCCAACTGGCCCCGAGCCCAGCCAGTTGCACAAGCGCGGGGAGGTCGGCGTGGGCGGAGGCGGAGGAGGGAACGGGAGAGGAGCTTCGAACGCCGGCCGTGTAGCAAATCCTAACGCTTCCAGCCAATGAGCGGCGGCGGGCGAGAGGGCGTGCCGTCGAGTATCTCCCTGAGTCGGCGGCCATTGGCTCAGGGCGGCGGGGGCGCAGCCAATCGGAGGCGCCAGGGCGGTATGTCGGCTGCTCGGAGTTGCCTGGAGCCGGGAGCGCTTGGCGCGCCTCCCAGGCTGCCCCTCCCCCGGGTAAGAGGCGAAGCGTGGGAACGCGATGGGGGAGACGGAGCCAGAGGGCGAGCGGCGTCGGCGGTGGGAGCAGAGGGCGCGCTGAGCTGGCACCGGGGAATCGCCGCTTGTTCGCACCAGGCGGGCAGCAGGAGCAGGAGCAGGACCTCCCCCCTCCCCATTCCGGACAGTTGTTTAGAGGGAGCCGGCAGCAGCAGCAGCATGAAGCGCTCGCACCCGGACTACAGCTCCTCCGACAGCGAGGAGCTGGATGAGCCCATCGAGGTGGAGAAGGAGAGCGGAGACGAGAATGGGTGAGGGTGCTGGGGGGTCGGGCCGCGGGGAGGCCGGGAGGGGTCCCCAGCCCGTGGTAGAGCAGCAGTACTTGGTCCGAGTTGGTCTGTGCCAGATGTAGGGTTGAAGCTGTAGCTCCGGGCAAGCAAACTCCCGCTGTTGACACGCAGAGACACCCATCTCCGCGGCCGTTCCTGCTGCGGCTTCGATCCTGTGCGCACTTACACGGGAGTAAGCCCGGTCACGCTCAGCGGGAGTTAATTCAGAGTAACCATGCGCTACCGTCTGCGGTACGGCTCCTTGGTTGCCTTTTGCTAAAAGCCGGTTCCATAATTACTGTGCACTCGATTTTCCTAGTGAATTTGTTGGTGCATTAAAACAAAACACACGGGGAATCGGGTGGGGCGACGGATCTCACCCTCTTGATTTGGACGCCTTTATTTTAAGGAGAGGAGGGTGCTTCTGGCTAGCTTCATTTGGTGGCGAAGGAAAGGCCCTCTGCACTCACTCAAGGCAACCTCGTTCTAGGTCGTCTTCTCACTTTCCGGAAGACTGCGGCTGCAACCTGACACACACTTGCCTGGTGGCACAGGGCCAGACGGCGAATCTTGGCATTGAAAACGGGAGGGAAAAGGATGGGTCTTTGCACAAATTAAACCATGCTCCATTGCCTGCTGCCCATGCTCTGCATTTGGCACTGGGTTACCTGGGATTACCCAGGCGTTTCTGTGCTACAACTATTTATGTGCCTACAGGCTTTCCAGCTGTTTCTTGTGGAAATCACTGCTCCCCAACCTCACTCCTTTTCTGTGCCTTCTCAGTATTGACGCCCGATTTCTTTCTTGCTGGTTTCAGAAACTTGAGCTCCGCTCCAGGTTCCATGTCTCCAACCACCACTTCCCAAATTCTGGCTCGGAAAAGACGCAGAGGGGTAGGTCTCTTTCTGCTGTGATTGAAGTCCCTTCTCTTTCTGCTCCGCTTGAAGCCCCCTTGAAAAATATTCCTGCTTCCCTTTCAGATTATTGAAAAACGCCGCAGGGATCGGATCAACAATAGCTTGTCAGAGCTGAGGAGGCTGGTGCCTAGTGCTTTTGAAAAGCAGGTAATTTTGAGGCAGCCCTCTGTGTATGTGAGGGGTGGGATGCTGCAATTCGGGTGCAGTATTATTAGGCAGCAGTGTGCTATTTCTGTGCTGCCTCTTTCCCTTGGCTTGAATCCAGCTGCCTTTATGCTGATCTTTGCCTTCATTACTTAGGGATCAGCTAAACTGGAGAAAGCTGAAATCCTGCAGATGACTGTGGATCACCTGAAAATGTTGCACACAGCAGGGGGGAAAGGTAAGGTCCTTAACCTGGCATGGAAGTCAATTCTGTGTACTAATCCCAATCAGATTTTTTGAGTGTGGTTCCCTAGGTAGCCAAAGCGAAGCATCATTGTTGAGCAAGGTTTCTGGAAGTACTAAAAAGGTGGGGAAAGCCCTTAAGCTGTGTGTGTGTGGGGGGGTGTCCTCCCACAACAGCTCAGGAAGGAATAGGCATGGGATGCTGACTGACTGTTGCAGGGAGGAGTGGGCAAAGAAGGGGAATGGATTGGAGTATCCTGGAAAGAGCATGGCTAGCTGGCTGGAACTGAGTGGAAGCATGTGACACTGCAACAACTCATTGCAGGTCCCACTGTGTGTGTGTTATAATAGATTTGTTCAAGATTCAGCCACCCTCTAGCAGCACATCTGCAGCCTGCTTACTCCCTAGCAGTCTAAATGGTAAAAGCTCTACTTCAAAAGTGAGGTATGGATCTCACCTGAAGGGCAGGAAGTATTTGTGTTAAGCACAATTTTGTGTTCGTTTGCTAACTTCAGTGAAAAGTACAGCCAATTAAGTTTGTGAAGGATCTGGCTGTGCATGATTTCCCTTTGGCTGGAGGATCTTCAGCTAATTCCTGTGTGCCAAAGGCACTGGATCTCATGTACGTGTCACTGTCTCAGCCATTTAGTATTTTTCATTTTGTTCTAGTATCTTAAAGGCTGTTGGTAGCCGAGTTGCTAAGATTATAATCCGTGAGCCACATTGAAGGCTCCTGATGGGCCAAAAGACAGGACATACATTTAACAAAATGGTAAAAGAGGTATGAAAGCAGAGAGCAGCATGTGTGCATATCTATCTATATAGTAGTCATTCCAAATGTTTAAGCTTGCAATAAACTATATACTGATGGATAGTAGCAGCAAATCTTGGACTGTACTTCAGAACCCAGTAACTGCAGAACAATCCCATAAAAAAACCCTGGAGTTTGTGCTTTAGACTATCTTGATTGATTGTGGACTTTTAACTGGCGCTTAGACTCTTTGCTGAGAACATCACAAATGCTTATTGGCTGTTTTGAGGTTGGGTCTGTGTGGACTTGGAGCAGATCACTGAATTCCAGATCCTGTTCTCATTCATGAGATTTGGCTTCTCGAAATAACCAGCTTTGCACCTATATGCTGCCTTGGGTTCCACGGTGGAAGAAAGGTGGAATATAAAATAAAATAAAAATTATGGGCACAGTCACAATGAGACGTGAAGTGTACTTGCCAGACACTTTGCTTCATGACGGTCTGATCAATATTTCTATTGCTCATGGGTTTCTATAAAGTGCATGTGGAGTAGCACATCTTTAGTGGGGCATGCCCTGGAGAAAACCCATCTTCTTGAGAGAGATGGCCGCAAATGAGGAATGGAAATTGCTGCCCATGCTTAAGGCATCACACTTCCTTCTCTTCCTTTCTTCTAGGCTACTTTGATGCTCACGCTCTTGCTATGGACTATCGAAGTCTGGGCTTCCGAGAGTGTTTGGCTGAAGTTGCCCGCTACCTGAGCATCATCGAAGGTCTGGACACCTCTGATCCTCTCCGTGTCCGCCTTGTGTCTCACCTGAATAATTACGCCTCTCAGAGGGAAGCCGCAAGCAGTTCCCATACAGGGCTTGGACACATCCCTTGGGGCAGTGCCTTTGGACATCATCCCCACATCTCCCACCCACTACTGCTGCCTCAGAACGGGCATACTACTACGAGCAGCAGCGCAACTTCCACAGAAGGTCATCATCACCACCACAGCAGAAGTGGGGCTCCCCATGCTGAATCATCTTCACTGAGAGCACCCCCTAATGGCAGCATTGGACCAGTGCTTCCCGTGGTCACTTCAGCTTCTAAACTCTCTCCTCCCTTGCTGTCTTCCATGGCTTCCCTGTCTGCATTCCCCTTTTCTTTTGGTTCGTTCCATCTGTTGTCCCCCAATGCTCTCAGCCCGTCTACACAGTCGGCACAGTCGGCCGGCCTTGGCAAACCTTACAGACCATGGGGAACGGAGATTGGTGCATTTTAAGAACTAGCAGGGTGGTGAAGGGGTGCGTTGTCTGTAAAATAGCCAGCTGAGCTGGGGCCTCTAAACTCCTTTTAACAGTTTTGTTATCAAAGGTACAGTTCCAGTTTTAACAGAGTTTGTACAAAGAAAATGTTTCTCCCTACCCTGCTTTCTATTAGCAGATTTTTAAAAAGCAGCAGTTGCCAGAAGTTTATCCATTTTTTTGTAAAATCTTCATAGATGTTAATTTAAAAATGATAATAAAATAGAATTTTGCTGACTCGTTCGTTATCTTAGTGGCATTTCTCAAATGATCCTGTTTGTCTGAAAACACTGGATCTTTTTTTTAAAGAGTAGAATTTTCGTCTTTCTCTCTCCCCCCCCCCCCCCGCAACAGAGCCTTAACTCACATTTTTGTTTGGTTGTGGGGGTTTTGTGATACCGAGGTGTTTTTCAAGGGAGAAATTGTTTGTAAACTATGTTTTGACTTTTGTATTTCCGAGCAAAAGCGTTGACAAATCAGATGGACCAGCTTTATCTCAGATGTTGGTGGTGGACCTGCGGGCCTCTGAAGCTCCCATCAGCCCCAGCCAGCATGGCTCATAGCTGTCAACGTTTCCCTTTTTTAAAGGGAAATTCCCTTATTCTGAATAGGATTCCTCGCAAGAAAAGGGAAAAGTTGACAGCTATGGCATGGCTAATGTTCAGGGGATGATAGGAGCTCTAGTATAACAACACCTTGAGGGACACTGGTTCTCCATCAGTATTCTAAGAATAGAATCTTTCTGTGACTAGTGCAGTGCTTCAGTCTACCTTGCAAGTTTATCCTGCTCCCCAATAGGTATATTTATCCCCATTACAGAATCACTGTTTTGTTTCTTGTGCCAAATTTTGTTGCAGTTTTCTTCCATTGGGGCAAACAACACTAAAAAGTTGCAGGTCAAATCCTTATTCTAGAAGCTTTGCCACTGCAACTAAGTTCAACCAACTTTCTCCAGCTCCAATCCATTGGATGCTTTTTGTTTTGCTTTTTAAGATGGAGGGATTATGAACATTAGAGCTTTGGGGATAGATTGTGCTGGGTTTGGGGATGTGGGGACAGAGACCATCGCCTGCCATGTTGCTGGAACGTAGGATGTGTCTTCAGGTCGAAGTTCCTGCAAGCAGATGTGCCAAGTTCTAATCCAAAGAACAGGAGTTGCATCTAAATTAAGTTGGTTGCACTTGGGTTTCATTCAGTAGGACTTGACGTGAGTTATGATGACTAAGAGTTGTGTCCAACTTTATTCTGTTCAGATTAGACCCACTGAAATGAGTCGTGTCCATAAATTTCACTGGGTCTATTCTGAGGATGACTAATGGTGGATACTACCCAATAGTCTGCCTTGCCTTTCTTGACTGGACATGGAAATAGTCTTGCTTCTGCCTGCAGGTATGGGATAGCTGGATGGACAAGGGGCAGAATAGGTAGGGAAAGCCACAGTTCCTTGTCCCATGCTTTATTGGTGTGTTTGAAGGTTGCAATCTGGTAGACATCCATCACACACTTAGCTGTATCCCATAAAAAGCTGTAATGTTGTGGTCATAACTGTGATTGGAAAACATGGCCGCTGACATAGAATCTAATAGCTCCTTTGAGAACTTGAACAAACTTGTTTTTTTTAAGCAAGTTTCAGCATTAGGTAAAGTAAAGGTACCCCTGCCCGTACTGGCCAGTCTTGACAGACTCTGGGGTTGTGCGCCCATCTCACTCAAGAGGCTGGGAGCCAGCGCTGTCCGGAGACACTTCCGGGTCACGTGGCCAGCGTGACAAAGCTGCATCTGGCGAGCCAGCGCAGCACACGGAACGCCGTTTACCTTCCCGCCAGTAAGCGGTCCCTATTTATCTACTTGCACCCGGAGGTGCTTTCGAACTGCTAGGTTGGCAGGCGCTTGGACCAAGCAGCGGGAGCGCACCCCGCCACGGGGATTCGAACCGCCGACCTTTCGATCGGCAAGCCCTAGGCGCTGAGGCTTTTACCCACCGCGCCACCCGCGTCCCTAGTTTCAGCATTAAAAAACCCCAAAACAATTGCATAAAGAGCTGCTATCCAGTACATAGAAACTTGAAGCCTTTATATGGCCTTCCATTAGTTGAGAAGTGAAAATTTGGTCCAGTACAAGTTTTAGTTGCCTCCCAATGCTCTTCATTAATGTTTCTTGAGCCTGCCTTTCTATTGTTACATAATGTTCTGTTCAGAGCAAGCAAAACTGGAGAAAACGAAAGTGATTCTTCTATGTTTAAAAATACAACCAAAATTAAGATACTGAATCATAGTTTGGTTTGTCTAAATCTGCATACTTTATCCTTCTCGTATGATTGTAGTTTTCACATCACAGAATGTGTGATTTTGTAGTACAGTGATCCTGCATCCCAGGGCAAAAACCAGGTGAGCAGCAGCTATGGATAGCCACAAAATCGATTGCTGTGATGTGTATACATACTGTGCAGAAAGGTAGTCACTGCATTTTTGTAGGGTTTAAAATGAATTCAAGAGGGTAATCTGAAGAGGATCCCTATCTATTCTCAACAGGCTTGTTCCTTTAAATGACTATTCTAAAGAGGGTTCCACCAAATTGGATTTGATCACTTTTGTATTTGCATTGTGCCTAAATAAAAGAATTGAGAACAAACAAAAAAAAAGTTGACTGTCAAGTTTGTCTAGCTACATGAGAGAAAAAGGGTGTTTTAAACAGATTATGGTATAATTACCTTTGTGTGTGTTGCTTTAAGTGTACTATTCAGTGCATCTTCTGTTTTACTGTTCTGTTTTCTAATTTTGGGCCATGAAGTGATATTTCAAGACATTGTTCATGAAGCGGATGTTAAAAATAACTGAAAATTTGATAGTTCATTTCTGCAATAGAAGAAGAGAGCACTGTTCACGTGTTCAGTGTTGGGTGGGGTGTAAGGGACAGAAAATCTGGTTTGAGCCTACTGCCCCAGCTTTACTTATTATTCTGAAGGTTTTAACAAACCCTGTATAGGTACAGCTGATTGCGCATAAACCTTGTGTACTGAATTTGAGACCGTGCCTTTTGCAACTTGTACATGGGGAAGCTTTGTTCCAGGGGTGGACAGATGTTTCATGTTGAGGACTGCATTCCTTTTGGTTGTAGCATCTCTTGGGGCCCACCTGCCAGGGATAGGCAGGTCTAGTTGGTGGGTGGCATTGAAACCCAACATGAACAAGGTGTTCTGAAACCTTCTGGTCTTCCATGATTTATGTTAGGCATTTCCCCCGCAAAGTGTCCCCCTTCTCCCACCCCCAAAGTGGCACAAAGAAATTAAATAAACATGGTAGTGTCATTGCAAGTATGTGATATGAGCTCCACAGGTTGGATTTCTGCTAATTGTATAGTTACTTAAGGCAGCACCTGCATGTTTAGGAAATGAGCTGACAATCTAATTCTACGGGAACATATAAGGGAGATTCCCCAAATTGCTCAATATTGCCTTGGTTCACTGAATACTATGGCACAGGGTGTGTGGGTGTACCTAGAATAGGGTTGTTTGGCTCCACACCAGCCGGCATTGCCAATGGCTGAGCATGATAGATGCTTTAGTCAAACAATATCTGGAGGGCCACAGGTTCCCCACTCCTGAAAATTATCAAAAAAATTATTTTAAAAGTTTTTTAAAAAATGTCATATTAAGTAAGGCTGCCAGTTATCTATTACAATGGAATGGTGCCAATTGGCAGAAGATTGGTGTGCACCTGGTTGCTTTAAGTAGCATGTCAATCCAGCAATATAATTTGTCTTGCTTACCTGTCTGCAACGATCTTTGTAGGTTGGCTTTTCCCAACGTAGTGCCTTCTAGATACTCAACTACTAGCTTTTATTAGCCACAGGCACCATGGCAGATGGTTGGAGATGATGGGAGATCCCAAAAGATGGAGGTTGGAGAAGGCAGACCAAGTGCTTCTGTATCATAATTGTGAAGGGAAAGTTTTGTGCTTTGGGAAGAGTCTACTTTACATACATTCAATTATCACTGTATTTCTTGTATTTCACTTTCCTTGCACCTCACAGCTAACATGACTCTCTCTACATCCATGTGTTTTATCTACTTCAAAACTCAGGAAAACTTTCCATCTCAGGAATTAGAATCTAGTCCATAACAGCATGGACTGTAATAAATTGGTCTTTTACGAGGCTACACAACTCTGCATTGTTTGAACAAGTAGGAATGCCCTCTTTAACATAAGAAATATTCATTTCATTCTATGCCTGAATTGATTCCCAAAACATTTAAAAGCAATTTAATAATAAAAATAACAATGAAAATACTTACAATGATTTCACATATAAAAACAAATTCAGATCCAGTACACATACAGACACAGAATGAGATAAAAACAAACCCTTTTTTTTTTTTTTTGCTTGTTGGAAAATGAAGGTCTTCAACAGGTCGGGGATGCAATGGGTGGTGGTGTGGGGAGAGTATCAAAGGGTTAGGTGCTGCCATGAAAAGACCTGATTTCATCTTGCAGAGCAGACTTCCTGATAAGATGGTCTCCGCATCTGCAGATAATGGCAACATTATTGTGGGAAACAAAAGCTCATAAACTACGACACTTTCCCCCATTATAAACCGAATCCCTATTTAAGTCTTATTGCTCTTACACCCAGAAAATGTTGGAGGAAAGGTTACATTATTGCAAAATAAATAAAATTAGAAGATCTACAAAATAACCACTTGAAGTTGAAGTTCGCTCAGGAGCTGTGGGGCAATCCCCCCCCCCAACCTCTGGGCATGTTTATACACACATTTTGTAACTCCCCAGCCAAGGAATGGGATATAAACTTTCCTCCTTACTAGATGAACCCTGGGGGGTATGAGCTGTAAACATGCTCCAGGCTTGCATCCCTGGCCTAGAAGGGACAGGACCCCCAAAGCCATGTGCTTTGGGTGGTAACTTCTGAGTGTCCTCTATCCAAAAATGCCTCAGGGTACAGTCGGCTGTTATCATAACCTCCTTCACTAGCCAGCACAGAATGCAAAACAGGCCAGAACAACCAAGCCAACTGCAGCCCTACAGTATTAAACAGGCAAAATACAGGAGTCCCGGGTGCCAATCAGGGGTTCGCTCCAAAATTCCTACTCAGGAATTAAAGCTCGCAGTTTAAAAGAGGGTGGGAGGTTGCTCTGTGAAGACAAAGAGGAAGAAGGGTGGATGGATGGAGCATAAATACCCTCTACTGGAAAGTCCTAACTGGGCATTCCAGTCCGAGGGCCCCTACAACTCATTCCAACTTGAGTCACTTCCAAGATGAGGAGGGTGCCATTCATTATCATTCCCATTCTCACCAGTTGATGAAGGCCACATTTAACGAACCTGAATGCTGGGTGTATAGATGCACTTTGCAATGTCTACAGTTTACAGTATTGTACACACACAAGTGCGATAGAAAGGGAATGTAATCTGGACACAAAAGCTGTTGAGCTTTTCTTGGCAAAGTTTTTGAGCTATTTTTAAGGAAAATCACCAAAAATGACACTGCTGACAGGGGTTGCCATATGTCTGGATTTTCCCTGACATTTTAGCGATTTTCACCCGGGCACTGCTTCCAACTGCAGTATTCCGGCTATGTCCAGGAAATTCCGGACGTATGGCAGCCCAATGTACCCAGCATTATGATGACATGTTAAAAATAGCAGTTCTCTGTATTGCTTTGCAAGGAACACATCCATTAAGTTGAACAATGTCCCTTGCATCATATCGATGCCTCGCTGTCTGTAGTTTCCCCCTTTGAATTTTATTTGAGCATTATTGCATCGTTTTTTAAAAGGAAGCTATAAACAACAAGGGGAAATCCTGTACTAGTACTGAATGGTCCTTATTGAAAAGGGGCTTCCTTTCTGGAGGGAAGTGTATGTAGTCAGCACAGCACTCCATGAAACAGATGGATTATTATAGCAAGGAGATAGTATTTTATTGAGAGGGAGAGAAAGAGAGAAAACTGCTATTATCCTATACAAGAAAAACAAAACTTTTAAAATGGAAGTGCTTCTGTCTCATCTCTGTGCTCCCTCCAGGTGTTTTGGATGATATCTTGGGTGGGGCTGATGTCCAAAACATCAGAAGAGCTTCACCTTGTCCAAGGCTGATTTAAGAATTAGGAGGAGGAAGCTCAAATTTCTTGGATACTTTTATAAACGTGCTTCAGTTGATCATAATGATCACATAACGTTATGCACATTTTAGGAACATAAGCATTGCAAAATACATCATTGTAAATGCCCTGGACTCTAAAAAAAAAGTTTGAACATTAATTGCGAGAAGCAGAACTCTGAAGCATATTGGCCATCATCAAGGCACAAATCCATAATTGTTTAACATTAAAATGAGAAGAAGACTTAAGTGCCCCATTCATGTACTTGTGTGTGTGTGTGTGTAAGGCCAGGCGGGTAAATGTGGTCCTCCAAGCCTCTCTGTCTGGTCCTTGATACTGGAATTTCCAATGAATGAAAGGGGAAGTACAACACTGACATATTGTTTGCAATGTGTTTTAGCCGTGGTTCAAAGTCACTGCTTGCCTGACACACTCAAAAGATAATTGTTTCACCACAGGCCCCGTTTGCAACTCAATCCACATTTGCTGTGCAACTGCTCCACAGACTTTTGACCTCGCTCT